TTATAAAACATTCGTTTTGAAGCTAATAAGAAGAAGGCAGACAAAACCTTCAGAAATTCTGCGTAATGAGAATATTAGTGTAATTTTTTAATTTTTTATAGAACTGTAATTTTATTGTGTATGCATTACCTGCAATGGCATAAAGCGCTTCTTTAATTGCCTGCACTGGCAGGTATCCGGGAAAAACAATTGCGAATTGCCTGGCAAAATGTACTCTTTGATATACAGTGGTACCACAGAACACGAACTTAATCCGTTCAGAACTCTGGTTCGAATCATAAAAAATTCGAGTTCCTATCGAATTTTCCCCATAAGAATTTTTTTTTTCCCATAAGAAATAATGGAAAACCAATTAATTGGTTCCCGACTGCAAAAAAATACACCTAAATATGTTATTTTAGCATTTAAACACAAAATGAACAGGCTAAAACAAGAACAGTATATACTGCACTAAACACATCTAAGCACAATTATCAAAACAGTAATTTGTAAAGTAAGAAAATAAATGTATCCAAACAATGTGTCCTGCCCCGATCGTCCGCTCCTTCTATGTGCCACGTCCCCTCGTTAACCTTGTGTGGAATCCCCATGTGATCAACTGTTTCTGGTTGTTGTCATTAGTCCTCTGTATTTAGTCCGCGTTTCAGTTTGTTTCCCCAGTTCGGTCATTGTATTGTCCGTCTGCGTTTTGCCTGCCTTACCTGTAATTAAACCCTGTATTCCCCGATACCCTCACGTCTGCGCCTTTGTCTCCATTCCGTCCCTGCTCCGCACGACAATATTATTATAATTAAATGTATTAATGTTTTTTTATTAATGATACTAAAATAAAGAGATCTTTATTTTTAAATGTATTTATTATATAACAATTAGTTACTGTCTATTATTGTCTAAATGTATTTTTACTGTTTAAATATATGTATTCAGCTAGTGTGAACGTGCACGATGCTATCACAGTGAATGCGAGACTGAGACTGAAGCGCGTTACCCTTTGTTTCCGCCGAGAGACGTGCTGCGTGACTCATTTCCCCGCGCAGATTTAAGGTAGCCTGGGCAAAATGTAAGTAAACAAATATGAAGTCCATTTAAACTGTGGTACCTTAAATCCGTTGTTACCCCAATAAGCCAGTAACCCCGCTTCGTAGTACAGGCCACTGCTCCAAGCAGGTTTGAGGATTTGGATGTTCTGCTATAACAACACATCCAACAAGAGTTTCAAAAAAACAACAGATGCTGGACCATGCCAAATCGTCAACAATTTCATCCGGCTAAATGAGTAATCCACGTACGGAGAATTGCCCCCCTTGTGTAGATAGCCGTCCACGTTTGTTGTTTCCTAGTCTCTAGTCTAGTGACTGTTAATTGTAATATACTGATCCATCTGTTCCTTGTTGCCCTGGGCCCTTGGTGATTGCTTCATTTGGTGATGGTTCTAACCTGTCCTGCATCGTGTCTTGTTTGTGGTGTATATAAGTGTCTGCTCTTGGTCTATTCCTCAGTGGTTCATTGTGGTTATTTGCTGTGTTTCTGTGTGATTATGAGTTATAGTTACCCCATGTTAGTTATTATAGCTTCCTGTGTTCCTCCCAGCCTTTAATATTGTTCCCAGTATTGCTCCCTGCCTTAGTTTCTGTTTTACCAGTTTAGTTTTGATCCCACATGTTCCCATTGTTTGCTGATTCTCCCTTTCTGCCTGTTCCGTTAATGAAACCATGGTTTATTGGAGCTGCTATGTGGATCTTCTCTCCTTTGCCATGCCCCACCAAACAATTACATTTTATTTAGGACTGTATTTTATACTGCCCTTGACATATTTAGAAATCATTATTAAATCTGCCCAGAAGATTGATCTTTCATTTTCCACAGAATAAAAAATGATGTAACGTTATTCTGCTAATAAGTGCTCTCAAGTTTATCAGCCAGCACCTGTGATATTAGACAGAAGTATGTCAGTTATTGATTGATTTTTTTTGATCCAGAAATATGGAGACGCAAGCAAAAAGTAATCATTAATGCATTTAATGTAATTGAAATACAAAAATAATAATTCCATTTGCTTCATTTTTGCTCCATTACTTCTGAAGTTAGTGCTGGTGTTTCCATTTGAGTACCTTTATTAGCAAGAGAATGTCATATGTTTTATTCATCAAAGTAACCTCCTCTAGCAGTTATAACAGCAAAGAAAAATTGAGGTATTCTTTCTACAAGGTGCGTTAAATACTGTGCTGCTCTGTTTCAAGGGATGAAACAGTTAACTAGTGCATTTAAAATTAAACCACAGCCTAGAATTTGATTACACCATCACCACACAGCCAGTTAATAGGATGTCAGACATGCAGTGTTACATACTTTTCAAATGTTATGAAGGAAGCTTTTCATTTATAGTTGTTTACTCAACTTTTTAATGCTTAACAAGAAAAAAAAATCTGCAGTTTATGAAATAAATGCAAAAATGGCCAAATGTCACGCCCCGCTCCGTCCGATCCTAATGTGTGCCACGCCCACCTCCTGCTCCTGCCTGATTGTTCCCACCTGTTGCTCGTTACCCTTAGCTTGTCTTTTGTATTTAGTCCGTGTCTCAGTTTCCCCAGATCCATCAATGTAGTGTCCGTGGATGTCCCTGCGTGTTTGTCTTTTGCCTATTAAACCCCTGATTGCCCGTGAGTACGGCTTGCTCTCCTTCTTCCCTGCTCACCTGCCTGCCGAAACGTGACAAAATGACGGATCTCCACGAAAGCACAGCACGGCAGACCGAGCACCAGAGGCTCGGTCTGCTGCAAGAAGCAGTGTACTGGCGCTCCCAGCCCGAGGTGCTAGAGGACCCCATCGCCCTGGAACTGGCCACCCGGAGCGCGGACCTCCTCACTGAAGAGTGCCCGCCTGGACAGTAGTACCCACTCAAGCAGGTACGTAAATGTCTACGCCACCTGAGTGAGCGTCTCATGCGGCGGAGAGACTAACGCGTCGCCTGGAGCCTAGGCGACGTGTTCGCGGTGGCTCCGCCTTCCGCCGCCAGCGGAAAGAAGAAGCGGAGAAAGAGCAAAGTGCAGTAGGAAGAGACCCCGACTATCTTCTTGGGAGCTGGCTCTCTGATCCCCGCCTGGGAGTTAGCCGGTGCGCACGAGGGCTCACCGCCCGCATGGGACGACATCGCTGCTGCCCGCCTGGCCGGCTTCCACCCGGAGAGGCCGCCTCCGTTGGAGGCGTATCCATACCGGCCGGAGCGTCTGCACAGCAAGGGGATCAGCACCATCCGGGACGCTATTCCCCGGGTCCCTAGAGCCCTTAAAGGGGCAGCTCCGCACCCGCCTGCTCCGGACCTACCAGCACCGCTTACTGCTGCTGCCGCCGCACTGCCCGCGGCACCGCCTGCTGCTGCCGCCGCTTTGCCAGCAGCACTGCCTGTCCTGCCTGACCCGCTAGCTCTGCCTGCGGTCCCTGCAGCTGCCGCAGCTCTGCCTGTGGCACCGCCTGAGGTGCCCGCGGAGGCACCCCCTGCTGGCTGCACGCCCGAGGTGCCCGCCGAAGCGCCCCCTGCTGGCCGCACACCCGAGGTGCCCGCGGCGCCCCCTGCTGGCCACGTGTCGGTGGCGCCCCCTGCTGGCCGCACGCCCGAGGTGCCCGCCGAGGCACCCCCTTCTGGCCAGGAATTGGTGGTACACGCTGCAGCTCCGCCCGAGGTCCTGGCTTCACCTCCGCCTGCAGCTGATGACGCCGCTCTGCCCGCGGCGCCCCCTGCTGGCCACGCGACTGCGGCACCCGCCGAGGCAGGTAGCAGCAACACAGTGTCAATGCAGAGTCTTACATACAGAATGGGGTGCCTGCACAAAAAAAAAATCAGAATGGTGACATTTGTGCAACAGGTTTTCTGTCGCTCATTTGTGATAGAAAGTGGGTGCCTTGATTCTAATTTGTGAAGTAGGCAGCCCAGGGGAGTTTCTAGCTATAGAAAAGAGTAGGGGCTAAGTAAAGTTTACCTGGGGCTTGCCTGTTTTGTTTTTGAAGAAAGAGTGGCGACAGGGCTAAAATACTTGGAGCCATATCCCCCAGTGATCGGACCTAACGACGCTCATGAGGCGGGCTACCACCCAGAAGTACGAGGTGGGAAGGGGTGCGGGGTTTGTTGACCTCAGGATGCCCCACTGGAAGCCTGAGGAAGGGGGGAGGGGGGGGCAGGGGAATCTATAAAACAGCACACCTCTAACTTTGTACAGTATTAGTGCAAATAGTAAAATCAGTCACCCTACGAAAAGCTACCAAATAAACCACAATTTATTCATAATACTGCAAATACAGTTTCACAAACATATTTTTGCATTTTTTTCTATTGTGTGCAAAATCGTTAAGAGCGACATGAAGCCAGTCTGCAGTGACAGTGCTGGGTAATGTATTGATTCTCGAGTGCCAAATTAGCACAAATAAATAAGAAAAGCTCTAAATTATCACGTGCCCAGTTTAGAAAAATAAAGGAAAGGAGATGAGAAACGCGCGAAAGGTGTGCAGCTCTTTCATCTCTTTGTAATATGGATGTAATGAAATATGGTAGTATAACACTAGCATATTTTTGTTAGTCAATAGGATAATAGTGTGATAATTGGATTTCGTTTCTATATGTCTTTGTTACTACTTTTCGATATGAATCTTGCTTTGTATACATTTTTATATTTGTACAGTTTAAAATTTTATCGTTATTTAATTATGTTGTCCCAAACGTCTTACTAAAAACTACAGTGCCGAATGGTGCTTTCTTGTTGGCAATAGGGGGAGTGGGGGCTCTGATTAAACTACACTAACAACAGTATTAGCAATCCAAAGATAAAATGCTTGATTGGGTAAGCAGCCCAGACTATAGCGCAGAGTCCCTCGTGTTCTGCGCACCACTGTGCATGTCAGCCCAGTGATCTGTGTTATGTCGTGCAGCTGTGGGCGGCCGCTGAGCCGGATGAGCGCCTTCCCCCCGGCCGCGCGCCCGCCACGCGTCACGGGTTCCGCAGCAGCTGGACGTCACGCGGCACAACTGCACCCTCGAGAGAGACGCCGCGCCGGCTGAGTGCGATCCCCCACTCCGTTTTTCTGTAAGTTTGCTATCGGTCACATTTTATCATGAAAAACTAACAAAACACACCCACATTCTACCCTAAAACTGAGATGTGTTCTTATAGATTTTATCATGCTTTCTGTAAAGTCACTGCAAGAATACGATACACAATTGTTTATATCAATTCAAAAGAGGTGTCGACCGCTCCTGCATGGCAATATTGTGCCATACGCTTACTTTTAGGGATAACTTTATTCTGGCGCACATTCCAATGAGTCTGATCCAGCTTCCAGTAGGCGTGGTTTTCCCAGGCTTTAACACAGCAGCTGCTATTTACCTTCTCTCTAATGTAAACCACCACCGCCACCCCAAGTCCAGCAGCCAAACCTCAACCACAGCAGCAATAAAACATCCTGGCACGTGCTCTGCATTCACAATGGCCAGTGCGCGCCGACAGATGTCAAATTGTCAGGCTTGTGCAGCCCAGTAGTTTCTGTAGACGCACTTACAGCATAAGTATTTGGAATATAACAATGAAACTTTTTCTCTTTATTTGCATTTATGACTTTTTATATACAGCTCCATTCTCAATTTTCTCTAGTGTTTCTCATGTTACGTTCTTACTATAGATATACAACCGGAAGCAACTGAAGATACTATGCACCATCAGTTGTTATATGAGAAGTAATAATAATATGGTAATTACTAACTCATTGGGTTGTTGCACGTATATAATAAGCAAATTAAACCTATAATATATATTTACACATTAAACTATTACTTGAGCTTGCTTATGCTTGATTTGGTGTGTTTTGTGATATTATAAATAGTACTAACAAACTGGAAAGGCAAAAAAAAAAAAAAAACAATTACTCACACAATTAAAATTTAACTGCATGCCAGCTTTACATTCTAACACTCGACAGAAGCGGCGAAGCGTTAATATGTAAAAACGGATGATTGATGGCAGGGCCCGGTTGCGCCCCCTTGTCTCGGCCGCGCGCCATTGGCCGCCCGCTCGAGCGCCAAACGTCCAATGGAAGGGCGCCGACCACGAGCCGTCCTCCCTTCGGGCCGCGTGCCGCCAGAGCTGATTGGTGGAAAGTTACTGTGGGAAAGAAAGTTTGGGAAGTTTCACACGAGCCGCTCGCGTGCGGTCGCAGGTATAAATAGGAGCCGCTGGGAGTGCGGCTGGACTTGTAACGTTGATAGACGCCGTGTAATAAGGGAGAGGCCACTTGCGTCACTCTGCCACAGAACCTCCGGGACGCTCCCCTGCCCATTCATAAAGGTGTACAGCTGTGTGCGTTGCTCTGTTTTGGATTTTCTTCGTGGCTGGGATTTTGTGTACAGAGGGACATCGGCGACACGCACGGCATTTACCGTTTCAACCGAGGTACGCTGACTGTCTTGTGGCATCCAGGAACCGGATTCACGATCTATAGTTAAGCCTTGTAGCACGTTTCAAGCAGACGATGCCTGCAGATATTATGGAGAAAACGTCCTCCTCTCCGGTAGCTGCCACCCCGGCAAGCATGAACACGACACCTGACAAACCCAAGACCGCCTCCGAGCACAGAAAGGTAGGCGGTTTGCTTCCAGCCGTAGTGCAGGTCATGTAGCGTATGTACAGTATTAAAGCTTTGCAGTGTGAGAACATAACAAACAATTCTCTGACAAGTACCTGTTTCTAATCTGTTGTAGTCATCTAAACCAATTATGGAAAAACGAAGGCGCGCAAGAATCAATGAAAGTCTTGGCCAGTTGAAAACTCTAATTTTGGATGCGCTTAAGAAAGATGTAAGTATGCTATGATACTGGATTATAATTGCATTACTAAAACTTTCTTGGGCGCTTTACGATCAACGCTCAGTTATGTGGAAAAGATGTTAACAGGTTGTTTCTTGATAAAACAGAGCTCTCGACATTCAAAGCTTGAGAAGGCGGACATCCTGGAAATGACAGTGAAACATCTGCGAAACTTGCAGAGAGTGCAGATGACCGGTGAGCGCATGTTTTCATGGTCCTCGGAATATGATCCCGACCCCGGAGAGCATGGCGTACGGATGCAACTTTACCGTCTTGGCTCATAACTCCCTGTATTAATAGACTGGCTATTTCAGTTGTAATTCCGGCAGGAAGCTACAGTGTTACTTCTAGTTTTGGTATCGTGTATTTTTAAGTGTATAGGCCTACATGGAAATAATGTAGAATTTATTGCATAACCTACATATCTAATTTAAGATACTTGAATTTTTAAACCTTAATGTTTTTTCGTTTTTTTTTTTTTTTTTTAATTTTCCCACTGTCTTACAGCAGCCTTAAACACAGATCCCACCGTACTGGGAAAGTACAGAGCTGGATTCAGCGAGTGTATGAATGAAGTGACACGTTTCCTGTCCACCTGCGAAGGGGTCAACACCGAAGTCAGGACGCGGCTCCTCGGACATCTAGCCAGCTGCATGACCCAGATCAACGCCATCAATTACCCTACGCAGCAGCAGATCCCCGCTGGCCCACCGCACCCAGCCTTTGGTCAGCCCATGGTGCAGATCCCCAGTGCATCGTGTAAAGGGAGCTCAGGCTTGGCACCAGAAGCCACCAAAGTCTACGGTGGTTTCCAGCTCGTACCGGCGACGGACGGACAGTTTGCCTTCCTGATCCCTAACGCAGCATTTACGCCAAACGGACCCGTTATTCCAGTGTACGCTAACAGCTCCAGCACGCCGGTTCCGGCTGCGGTCTCCCCCGGCGCACCTTCAGTGACCGCGGACTCGGTGTGGAGACCCTGGTAGAAGCCAACTTTAGAGACTCAAAAGCGACACTTGCATCTTTTTAAATGTTTTGAGACTGGCAGTTTATATCAGTGTGTTCAAGCAAAGATTATGCACTATATTTGTAAATAACGTTTGAGGGGAAATTCATATTGAAAAAATAAAATCCGTATTGTACAGTCAGTGAACTGCATTTTTATATTCCAGCTGTCTTTTCTACTATGCGATGCCAAAGATTTTAAATGCCCTAATTTCTTCCTTTGGAAGATTAATAAATTCGTAATGAAACTGGACTTGTGTTATTTTTAACGTTGTACATAGTTTACTAAAAGTGCTTTGATTTTGTTAACTTTACTGGAATTGCCTGTGCTGTTGCAGTTTATTCTAAATAATTAAAATTTAATTTTGAAGGTAATGCTCGCTTAGTGCTGACTTTATATGTGCATCTCTTTCTGGAATGGGATGAGCTGTTGCCCATTTTCATTTTGCGGTTATGTAGTTGATAGACTGATTTGCGCTTTCTTCAACAATATGACCGCAGTATATTTAGACGCTCATCTATGACAAATGAAGTGAAAATAGTTTTTGTGCATATAAGTGCGTTAACATTCGATATGCCATCCTTAATACATAGTTTACAAGTAAAGAGTTCTCATAGTCACTGTATATCAGAAGCCTAATGTCAATTCAAGAGAATTATCAATCACATTTTAACAAGGCAACGTCCTTTAAAAAGTCCACAGGTCTAGTTTGGGACCCACGGAGATGTTAAGGCATGTCCTAACTAAAACCAGTGCGCACTGAAACATCCCCGGATTGCAAGCGAACAATCCGTCGCTAAATCCCCAATCATTCCCTTTTTGGATCCGCTCCTGGATCGCCCAGGTGTTTGCAGGAATACAAAAACCGCATCCAAGACCAGCGAGACCAGACAAGACAACGAGGAAAAAATGGCGAATTGCACAAAACGGGCGGGGGGGAATCAACACCACCTTAAGAGAGAAATGCTATTCAGGAAAAAATAATGAATATTGTACAGAGACTTCGAATACAATTGTGAAGCTGGCAAGCTTAATTTAAGACATTTCAATTTATTTCAATAGTTTGTATGCGTCAGTAATAGTGTAGTAACCTATAACTAACAGTAACAAATTGATTATTTGAAATTTGCAACAGTCTATTTGTCATTGCGAAGGACTAATTTTGATGCTTATTTTGAAATCAAATGGGAAAAAACGTCAGTTAATGCGTCTGAAATTCCCATACCCATAAAAAAAGTACATTCAAAAACATCCAGTGAAGGAATGACGGTTGACAGACAATGGGATTGTCGGTCTCATGGCGCCACCTTGCACACTAATCGGTTACTGCAACAGCCTCCACTGCTCTGCTCTCGGAATCGTCAGATTTTGCTTTGCTGATTTTGAAATTATAAATGGTACTACTCATGACTGAATGCTGAGGCTTCGCCACTATTGGATATATAACTTTTTGTAAAAGTTTGATGAACTGAATTCAAGGTGGACTTTGAGCCATGGGAATTAAGAAGACATTAGAAGTGTTAACTTTCATTTACACACTGTGTAAAACATATTCGAGGTAACGTCTGGGCCATGTCTTTGCGCATCTCAGATACAGAAAGGAGCGCAGGGAATCCTAAATTCATTGAATATGTCTATTTTATATCACAAACAGCATGACGTGAATTATAACCAGAACTGTTTTACTCACCTTATCATTGCCAATCTGTTTGTTGATTTATTATAGTTTACAAGCAATTTAAAAACACAACTCACACAAAGAATATATGTAACACGTCCATTTATGAAAGGGGACAGCAATACTGAGGGATTTTGAAATACAGAGTATTACTTTGGTTTAACTGTGCAACTGTGTGTGGTCATTAACAAATGACACTGGCCCATGTAAACAAAAGTAAGGGAAACCAGTGGCCTGTACTACGAAGCGGGGTTACTGGCTTATTGGGGTAACTTGTCGGATTTAAGGTACCACAGTTTAAATGGACTTCATATTCATTTACTTACATGTTGCCCAGGCTACCTTAAATCCGACAAGTTACCCCGATAAGCCAGTAACCCCGCTTCGTAGTACAGGCCACAGGTAAAGATGATATATCATACTATATCAGCATTGCCCAATTCGGTTTGCAGATTTCCCTGTTCTGACACATCTTCTTCAGCTATTTGCCAGGTTTAGTAGGTAGTACAGTACTTTGGTAGGTGTACTGATACTTATCTGTACTATTCTGTACTATATTGTACTGTGCTGTTCTAAACTGTACTCTGTACTGTACTGTACTATGCTACACTGTACTGTGGATACCTGAAGGACACCCATTACAGTGGGGCTGTGCTTTAAAGTGGCTTCTACAGATGTTAACAGTTTCAAACCTGCTAGGAGGCAGAAAGCTCAGCTCAGCCTTGATCATTTTGGATTCTCCCTTACATCTTTAATGGCTGCAGAGAGAAATTAAGGAAAACATGTGGAACTCCTGAGGAAAGGCCCTGTACAACAGGATAGGCTGTAACATGGGGCCTCTGTACTACTGGACAGGCTGTAGCCTGGGGGCCCTGTACTAGTGGACAGGCTGTAGCCTGGGGGCCTTGTACTACTGGACAGGCTGTACCTTGGGGGCCCTATAACAGTGGACAGGCTGTAGCCTGGGCTCCCTATAATAGTGCACAGACTGTTGTCTGGGGGCCCTCTACTACTGGACAGGTTGTAGCCTGGGGGCCCAGTACGCTTGGACAAGCTGTAGCCTGGGAGCTATGCACTACTGGACAGGTTGTAGCCTGGGTATCAGGTATCAGCCCAATCACTAATTAAATCAAAATCTCACTGTAGCCTCTGTGCCGCTAATTCAGTATCTGCTACACAACCCACCTTGGCGTTATCTGCAAACTTAACCAGTTTACTGTATATATTGGTGTCAGTATCATTAATGTAAATTAGGAATAACAGTGGCCCTAAAATTGAACCCTGCTCTACCCAACTATGAATGCAGGCCCACTGTGACATTGTACCTCCAATAACTACTCGCTGATTCCTGTCTGTTAACCAGTTTTCAATCCAAGCTGTTACAGTTCCTAAAATCCCTGCTGCTTTTTGCTTAAGCAGGAGCCGTTTGTGCGGGACAACATCAAAGGTCTTCTTGAAATCTAGATCATCATAGACCTTTTTGTGATCAATTTATCTTTTAGCTTCCTCAAAGAACTCAAGCAGATTTGTCAAACAGGATGTTGGCTATCCCTCAGAATATTGAATGTGAATCCATGTACTGTAATCTACCATTTTCACTTGGATTATTGCTTCCATTACTTTTCAGGTTATGCAAATTAAACTAATTGGCCTATAGTTCGCTTGATTACTTCTATACCCTTTTCTGAATATTGGTCGTTATATTAGCATTCTTCCAATCAGAAGGCACCACACCAGCAGATAAGGATTTCAGAAATAGCAAAGTTAAAGGTCAGCAAATAATATCCCTCATCTCTTTTAAAACTATGTGTAACATGCCATTAGGGCCCTGTGATTTATTTATTTGGAGCTTAGCCATGCTTTATACTATAAAAGTATATATATTTATACTATAAAGTTTATAGCACATCAGCTTAAGTTATAGATGTATTGGTCATAAACAAAACTGGATTATGAATAAGAGTTATGCTACTCATGTCCTCTACAGTGAATACCCGCACAAAACAATCATTAAACCCATTAACTAGATTGATTTCGATGGAGTACCTAGAGCAGGAGTCGGCAACCTGCGGCTCGCGAGCCACATGCGGCTCTTTGACCATGTGACTGCGGCTCTTCTCAGAACGACAGCCACATTCACATTTTCATGTCTTAACATAATTACGATAATACTTTCATAAAGATGATTTATTTATTTATGGGTTAATATTATTTTTCATTTAGATATTTCTTTAGCTATATGTGAATGAGGCAGTCCAATGCACGCTTCTGTGATGTTTTACTGGCATCATTTAAATTTTGTTCTAAGTCATTCTCTAAGACGAGAGTATGTCTCCTGTCAAATGGTATGCTTTCCGGAGTTTTCTTTAGTACCTGAGATTGGATGTGCGCTTCAACATTTATTGGGATTCCTAATTCATTCATATATTTTTTGTAGTAAATCATCACCACGCCTTCCCAGGTCTTCGTAAAAATTATTTTATTTTCTCCAGTTTACATATTATAGCCAGCTGAGTTGTGACTACATTTGCACTGCTCGTCAGTACAGCAGTAGTGAAGAGGAGAGTGAAGGGCAGATGACTACAGAGCTGAATGAAAGAAGGGGTGAGGGTGACGACTATCGCTACAGAGCTGAACAATGTTGTAATACTCGTTAGGGTGGTCCAAAATTAACAACTTCACACAGCTTTCCCTCCACAACCCTAATTTTATTCTTCCCCATATTACAAATGTGTCTGCCAAATTTTATTATGATTGGTCATTATTTAGAGGTCGCTCAAGCTGGTAGTAATGCAACACTGCAACAGCTATATTGTATTGTGTAATTGTATGCAATAAAACAAGGAAAACATGCAGTAAACAGAATTAGAATTTCCATGAGTGAAAAAGAACAGAAGAAACATGTCAAATTAGCTGATACTATCTTGGATTCAGGTTGTCTGGACTCTTACTGTTATATATTGTCCCATAACGTTCTAATGTTCTTTATCATCAGTGTCGCACTGTTGCTGTCCCGACTCCGTTTTCAGAAGGGTAGACTTGGCGCAGGTTGGATATTTCTTTCTGTGTCTTTCAACCAAACGTAGGAGATACTGCTTCTGCTCCTCGTTCTTGGTCAGGGATGAATTGTATTGCTGCATCAATGCAATGGCTCTCTCTGCACAATCATTCACGACCTTCATTTTCGACGCTGCTGTTTGAAGTTCCTGGTACGAAAGGTCGTCATTCCATTCTCTTGGGTCCTCAGCCAAGAAATTTTGCGCCTTCATCTTCCCATTTAATGACAGTACTTGCAATTAAAGAGATGATAATTTTTTCATTTGATTTTACCCTGGAATTTTGGCAAATTGTCTTAATCTGAGTCCACAACAAACTTGTGGGACCTTGAGCGACCTCTAAATGTAGTTCAATTTGCTCCATATTTACATCATATCTTTACTACATCTGATAGAACATATTTAAACTTGTGGAGGTGGGTTTTAATGAAATTCAAAATTTTCCATAGTGCCGTGGACCGCCCTAATACTCGTATTAGTCACCTTTGTTCTGTTACGCGTCTGAGTGATTTAAAAAC